GCGGCTCTGCCCATCCCCTCCGCCCGCCTCGCCCCGCGGCCCCGCGGTAAAGCTGCTCTTTGCTCCCTCCCGCAGAGCACTACAGGCACCACTGGTTCCCCGTGGTGCCCTCCCGGGGCTCCGGGTACCGCTGCATCACGATCAACCATAAGATGGACCCCTTGATAGGAACGGCGGCGGGGATGATCGGACTGAGCCACGAGAGGCTCTTCCAGCTCTTACCCAGCGAATTAACTCTGTGGGTCGACCCCTTCGAGGTGTCCTATCGCATAGGTGAGGATGGGTCTATCTGCGCGCTGTGCGAGAGCGCCCAGCCCGGGGCGAAGGCGGCCAAACAGCTGGAGAGCAGGACCGGCTGCAAGGAGTGGAGAATTGGCAGATCCAGCCCTTCCAAGTGTTACATGATGACGGTTTCTAGCTAAAAGCTACTATTCCTTGTGCGATGATGACATATGTATCCCAGTCCTATGGTAAAGTTAGATGTAACTGAGCTTTTCGGTTTTTAATTATTTTTTTCACCCTATAGTCATTAAAGTCGTGGTAGTACTGCCAAGATCCTTGTGGCCAAGGGCTAATGTGTGAAGCAGTTCTTTACACTGCATGTGACTTTCTGGATTGTGTCCTGTAAATGCACTGATTGTTTTACACATTTATATTTTCAAAGAAGTTTTGGCTATTTGTAATAACAAGCAATATTGTAGCAATCTTGAAGACAAATTTTAGTCAAGATTAGCACTTGCTAAAAAAAAACCATTCCGCAACTTGCAGAGCAATAACATGAAGGGGGGAGGGAAGCATCTAACAAGCTGCACGTAAATCTTTCAGTGGTTTGTCTGCACAGACTTCTCTCAGGGTCATTCAATTTGGGCTGCGAGGCACAAATCACAAAAATAACTCTTTATTTTTCCTTTTTCAAAGCATGCATTTATTTGAGGGCTGGAGCCCATCAAAGCCCAACATTTTAGCAAAAAGAACTGGGGAATCAGTTTATTTCTAGTTCTTGGAGTAGAACAATAAAGACTTGCTCAAACTGTTTGTGACTCGTTTTGTTATTCCCCCCCCCCCCCCC